CCGAGGAAGACAAACAAGATGCTCTGGAAGCAATGCAATTTACTCATGCACAGGTAGTACGTATTGTTACACTGTCACCAAAGAAATGGTTCAAATTCTCACCTTGTGTACACCTGCACCATCTCAGTGAAGTCTCTGGTATAACTGGTGTAACTCCATAAAATTGCTGTAACTGAGCTCTCTCACAATAACAGCGATTAATCCACGGGACAGGAAAAACGGTAAACAAAATATCTGAATCTGCCAACGGTCAATTTATTGTCTTTTATTTGCCAAAGCGTGCTGTGGGTGAGGTATAGGAAAATGTATCCACAGTCAGCCTGCAGTGCCTGCAAGACACTGTTCCAAGCCCAGCAGAATATTCTGCAGTAGTTCTCATTTGCTTCTAATCCAAAAAATGCCTGCAAGCCCAGCAGTTTATGAAGCAATTCCACTCCAACCAGATTAAAAAAGAAAAGAAAAAAAAAAAAAGGAGGGATTTCTGGGGACCACTCTCAACGCTCCTGTATCTTCAGCTCAATAGCTGTATTCAACCTGTTCTGCTCACTGCTCAGTCCCAATTACAATGAAAGTATTTAATTTCCTCTTTGATTTCCCTTCAACAACAGATTGCAACTTGTGACACTTCAAGTAATTTTGGTAGCTCATTTAACACACACTGAAACCTGAATATCTGCTGATTATGTTCCCAAGCTCTGGCTCATTGCAATAAAGGATGGAGAAAGGAGATGCAATCTCTGGAGATTGAGAACCCGAACATGATTACTGCTGGACGAAAACTTGTTTTGTCCCAGTAGTCTTGGGGTACAAGTAGAATCTCTCATGAATGATTAATGAACTATAGGCAGATCAATGAAACTCTGCCCTAAATGTATCTATAACCAACTCAGGTGGGGGACAAAGAAGTCTAACCAGCCAGTATCCTGTAATTTACAACTCTTGATGGAGTGAAAAGGAGTAATTCACCTCATTTACTGTGGCTGGTTTCTCAAGCCCAAGTACCCAAGTCACCTAAGTGATTATTTTTTTTCCCTTCTCTGCTTTCTACTCATCATTAAAGTTATTATGTGGTGGGTTGACCTTCAATATCCGTGTTCATATCAAGGAGAACCTTCCTCCATAAGTTACCAAGAACTGAAAATTCAGGATTTATACTCATTACTGGTGAACACATCAAAGTGTAACTCAATCACTTATCAAGAGAATATTAAGCTTCCCATAAAGCACTTTTTAGTGGTAAGTCTTAGAAATCTTTACATTCTGTCAGCAATATCAAACTTCAAAATTATTTCTTATCCCTAATTTCTGTAACCAGCATAGTCACTTACTTCCAGGAATAATAAAGACTGTAGAACATATTCTCATCTTTTCTTGATGGATGATGAGTTGGCCTCAGTAAAGTTGCTAACGATGTAAAATAAAATGCAAATTAAATCGCACAATCAAAATCAAGCTATTAAAAAAATAGTCATGCAGGCAGTATATGATACTAAGTACCACCCTTTTGCTTACATTGTTACATAGATAATATCAGCATATTAGAAACATAATAAATCACAGAAAGCTGTTTCTCTAGCCAGGAGTTTCTCAAACTATGGGTCATGACCCTCCATGGGGATTCATGAATGAGTTTGAATGGGGTCACAAAAAAAGTGTTAGCGAAAAGCAAGGGCAGATATTTCCCCCTAAGTTAAGCAGCCCAATCCTCTCGCAGGGGAACAAGAAAGCAGACTGTAATTAGTGGCTGCAAGTATTTATACTTGCTAGGGAACTGCTAACTACTTTTAATTACAACAGCTCACTTTCTCCAGGAGAGGGGAGCAATATAGGCTAGAATTAAAATTGCCGGATAGTTGCTAACTGCCTTTCATTGCAGGCAATAGACCTGTTTCTCCAGGGAGGAAGAATAAATTTGTGACTGGATCTTATTCCCCCATCATTTAGAAATGGGGCCATTACCAACTCAGGGGGTCACACAAATACGCAAACACAGTTGTATTTTGAAACCATGTAAGAAAGAAATCAATAGTCTCATTTATAGAATATGCGACCACCAAGCAAAGAGTGAGGTGCCCCATGCAATCTGCACTGCATCCTGGTGAAGAAGGACATTTATTAAAGGGCTTAAAATGAGAAGCTAATTGAAAAAGTAGAGTTATCTCACTGAAAACTACTTGTACATTTCTCTCTGCTGCCCTGCCTGTCATCTGAACCCACTTTCTTGCCCAGAATGGGTCACCTTTTCAAAGCTGTCAACAACTGGATGTACCAAGATGGAAACTGAAGATCGGCACTTGAGGCTGCAGTCCCACACCACACAGCCTGGCTTGGTTAGCGCTGATGAGAGTCCTCTCCTCTTCCCTCCTGAGGGCAGCTTTCATCGAGACTGGAAGAGAAAGTATCCAGTTCTTCTCCCTCTCTCAAAATTAGGGATTTTAGGGAAATACAAGAGTGATATGCACCTCACATCCCCATGTTAGGGGCCTTTAGTGTCACCAAAGTCCATGTTTGCTTTCTTGAGGTCTCTGTAAGGTACATGAGGCCTGTGGCTACAGAGCAGCCTGTCTCCTTCAGGGCCCGCTGGCTACTGCAGCCACCGCGTACCTTGCTCCGGGAGTGCTCTGCAGCACCCCGGAAGGGAGTGAGAGCAATGTCAGGTGAAAGCAACCTCACTGGCAGGCATGCCCTTATCTCAGCAGTGAGGGTCTCCGCTGCACGCTGCCCCCACAGACCCGTTCCCATCCTCACACCGCACCCTGCGATGTGACACCCTCTCCCCGGGGAAGCAGCTCAGAGAAGAGATCCAGTCTGCAAATAACCTGGGGGAAAAAGAAAAAGGAAAAAAGACAGAAAAGTCTTATTTTTCAGCTGGATCAGTTTTCCAACCCGTTGCATTGCACAACCACATGAGCACCTGTGGTGGCCTGAGCCAAGAGTGGGAAACATTAAAAGTGGCTTAAACAGCACTGCCATGTAGTGGCTGCTTGTGAGGGAAAGACTAGCCCTGGCTGCTGGTGGGAGAGAAGAAGGAGAGGCGACCTGAATGGTGTCTACACAACTTGGCCATGGAAGAGGTCTCTGATAGTGAGAGGAAGCTCCTGAGTTTTGGAGGCAAAGCCATAACACAGCGGAGGGGTCAGCATCGAAGCTGGGCAGCTTGAAACTCAAAATGGACATAGCTTCCTGCTAGTGACGGTGATGAGACGTGGGAGGAGATGAACTTGCGTTGGCCCAGGGCATTAAATAAGAGATTAAGCCATAAGACCTACATTTTGGGTCTCTCCTGCATTTGTGTACAAGAAGTGGGATGAAATTGTCACAACAAGCCCCTTGCAGAGGAGAGAATAAAAATGGTGCCAGCCTGCTGAACTGGAGAGTGGCTGCCTCCCTTAAGGCCTGCCCTGTACCCAGTGGGCTGGATGGCATGGACAGGGTTGTATTCAAAGCGTGTGGAAATAGGATGACCTACTGGAGACAGTGAAAAATACCAGACTCCCCATATTATTTTCCTGACACTAAAACCAGCATGTTCATTCCATGGGCACACTCCCGCTCCCACTGCAGAAAGTCAATGCTAAGGAAAAACCCCTCCTGCGAGCCATGCCAGCCACAGGGGATTCGGCATAGCCCTTGTCTCCTGACAATTTGGTATGTGATACACAGCAAACTACTTCTCCCCAGGGAACCCAGGAGGCCCAAGTTATTCCAGAAAGTTCCCTGAGCAGAAATCCTGCTTCCAAAATCAAGTAGAAACCCTTCCCAAAGCATTTCTGCACTCCTGTCAGATCTGCAGGGATCCACTCGGGATCTTTTCACACCTTTCTGTGAAATGCTTCATAACTGCAACTGCAAGTCAGGTTTTATCAAGTTTTTCTTTGCAGCTTGTCAGCAGCATTTTGACTAGCCAGAAAGGTTACCTCCATGCTCTCTGGTGCTGAGCGGGATGCCTGCAAGCTGTGCGGCTTGTTCAGGGATAGGGACGTAACCCCCAGCAGCCTGAGAAGCCGGGGAGAATGGTTTCAAAAACAAATTTATTGATAACTGCAAAGAGAAAATCGACATTTAATTCCCTGCCCCTTGACTCTCCGTACTGCTTAGCTTTGTGTCCCTTCTGTGCCAGGTGAGGCACAGCCTGGACAGGTACAGCTGGGAAGGGGACGCTCTGGGCAGCTTCAAGTAGAATGGAGGCTTTAAAGTAGATTTTCAAAACATTATGGATTTCATCTTTGCTTAGCAGCTGGTTACTGTGCCGAAGCCACGAATCACACCACTTGAAGTGATTGAAGGAGGGGAAAGAATAATAATAATAAAGTGGCAAACTAGCTCAGGGATAGGCTTGGGAGTCCTATTAAATTTGAGAGGCTACGATTTCTATTCCCAGAACTGCTGGTTAACACAAGAACAAGCACCATGCTTCCCCATCCCATCCAAAGAGTTGTACTAGGCAAAAACTGAGGAGCAAACCAGCAACAGGTCAATCCTGTACTGTGTAGTCAAAAGTTGCCAGCAGATTAACATGGCAGCGCTCATGAAAAGTCTGCAGCAGCTCTGGCAAGCTTTGCAAAATTTATAATTATAGCTACAGGCTTCATCGCAAAAGGAACCAAATATGTGATGTTTGTTTCTGTGGAAGAATGGGAGGAGACTAATGGTAAAGGAGAGGGAGTGGGAGTGCGGAAGCGGGGAGAGGGGAAGGCAGAGAACCGAGCCCTGCCGAGTTTTCAGGGACCCGCAGAAAAAATCGTCTAAACAGAGTAGTTCAGACCTCAAATACCGTGCGGTGCTTTGACAATCTTCTGGTTTATGGCATACTTAACAAAGTGTTCTTACATTTACTAGGCTGGAATGTCCATTTGACTATAGATTCTCTGCTACTTTGCTTGTACTTTAACATTTTGGACACGTGACAAAAATGTGTGTAACGCATTTTTTAAAGTGTTGATTGTGCTCGTAATTTTCAAGTCAGAATATAAAATAAACATCTCTGCCCTTTCTTCCAGCAGGCAGCACAGAGATCTGCTCTCCGCGTTCTATCTGACAGGTACATTTTGTCATTTTTATGAACTATAAATTGCTTTATGAAACGTTGAGCCCTATTTATTGTGGCATATAACTCATAATCGGATTTTGTCCCCAAAGTATCTGTGAACTGGGATGTTAAACATTTTGCATGCTTGGATTTGTCATGCATGTGTAGAGTTTATTACTGCAAAAATCACAGTCGTCTTGTATTTCATACAGAGTATGCAGAATCCCTTGTTGTGATACCAAACGAGAGATAAGAAACTTACTGGAGAAGGCATGAATGATGCAGTAAATTCTGAGCTTTAGAGTTTGCTGAGATATATCTGAGCTCATTTTTCAGCAATAAGTACTTCATTTATTCCGAGATGTTCTCTTTTGACTTTTTCCAAATCCTTTCCCTGGGAATTACTCTTCTTTTGATGAGATTCCCTGTACGTTTTATGCACAGAAACAATGCCCTTTTTTACACCTTAAGTTTTGAGGGATTGGTATTTTGGAGGAATTTAATTCATTTTTTCACTTCTTCTGGAACTGCAGCAGTGCTCCAGGCAGATAAGCAGGGGACCAAATCCTTAGGCAGTGTTCAGGTTTTACTCCGCTCTTTTTCAAGCAAAAATCCATTAACTTCAATGGGAAACTTGCCCGAGTGAGGAATTCAGGATTTGGGCCATAGTAAATGTTATAGTTGGGCCGTAGGTCTGCACAGGTATTTACCTTAAATGACTTTTATGAAAGAGGATTGATTGAAATATAAGGTAGCTTTCTAAGACGGTCCTGATTTCTTTTCCAGTTTTGGGAACGGGGGGATGGAAGGGGGAGGAGAGACTGTACATTTTAGTGCCTGTGAAAAAGAACTAGCAGATTTACATTTATCCACAAATGAGGTACTGTGTCATGCAGGCTGACACAGAGTAAATTTCCCCATGCCTTGTTGGCAGCCCCCTCTGCTCCGTCTGGCCCCCCGCCCCCCGCCTCCCTGGGAATAAGCGGTAATTGACTCTGGAAGCCAGCTCAGGCCAGGATTTCTCCAGAGCAGAGCCTGTCACTTAGGCTGAATTATATGTTGTGCATGGATGAATAACATTTCTCTCTGCTCGGAGGCTAAGACCGCCAAAATTATCGACCTTCCCCCCCAAGTTTACAAACACTGTTTTGTTTAGAATTTTTCCCCCCCCCCTTGAGGAAAAAAATTCCGGAGTGAAACGTATGGGATGTGGGTGAAATCGCTGGCGCGGTTGTAGGGCATATAAGTATTTGCTGTAACAGGGATGAATGCAAAAAGAAAGAGGAGTCAGAGTCAGCATTATGCTCCTCTCCCTGGAGGTGTGCAGGCTCGCCCCCGAGGCAAAGCAGCTTTTGCACTTGGTGGGGGTAAAATTTTCTTTTGGGTGACCAAAGAAAACGTGGGGTTTTTTTCTCAGCATCCTTCCCCTGGGCTGAATGAGGAACATTCCTGCAGAAGTGCCCCTGGAGGTAGTTAACAAGCCCCAAACCCCTCACTGTGCTTTCTGTCTCCCCTAGAAAGAAAAGTGGCGATGATGGATAGATGGTCCCTACCTCATCAGGGGTGGTGAGGGAGCTGGGCACAGGCCGCCCTCGTCCTCAGGGCAAAAGGGCTGAAATGTTGCCCGTCACACCTCAGATTTGGTATTTGTGATGAGATAGTCCCCTGTCTGCCCCAAAAAGCATGCCCGGAGACTACAGCTTTCCCACCTGCTCTGCAAACATTCAGCCGTCAGGGCACCCTCGTCCCCTCCCTCTGGAGGGGGTTCTGGGAAGGCTGCGGGTGCCTCCCTGCCGCCTGTAGCCTCACTGCAGCGAGTGAATGGGAGGGCAGGGGGCCAAAAACCCACACTGTGATGGCAGTTTCTGTCTGGTCTTGGCTAAAGTGAGGATGCCTATGATATTGCTGCTCATTACTTGTGTCTCAGTAGCAACTACGAGCTCCCTGTCACACACCAGCACTTCCCAGCACCAAGGGAGATGGCAGCTTAAATAAAGCTCTCAGTAATTTCACCCATTATTTTTTCTGAAAAATATTCTCCAGCAGTTCCTGTTTCAGTTTTTGCTTTCAGGTTCTATTAAAAAGGTAACAGTTAGCTAAACTGAAAGGCGGGGGGGGGGGGGGGGGAAGGGGGGGTTTTTAAACCTGTGGCCATTGGTTTCTTTAGTGTACTGCA